TCATACCTACCATATCTCTGAGCTGCAATTGTAAAGTCAAAAGGTGTCACTCAAATTCCAATGTCCATAATATTCTCTGCCACCAGTGGCCTCATAAGTTTCTACATCCTACTGCCAAAAAAAGGGGACATCTACAGTCCCATCTTCCACCCAAAGTTCTTTCCCAATGCCAGCCTCCAGCTCAGACCTTTCCTGCACTGCAGACAGTCTAGAGAGTTAAACCAACACATAGATGACTTCAAGTACTATAGAGGGACTCTTGCATTGCAACTTTTCCCTCAGTAAGAGTCTGGCCTGAGTATTACTTGAAGAGTATTACTCGGAATGAATGTTTAGAGGTCTTTGGTCCATTCCCTCACCCAAACCAGGTATCTGTGTATAACTAAAGGACCATCTCCCAAAACGGAGATCCCACAAACTCCTCAGACCCCTGTACCATGACTTAACCATCCTCTTGTGGGAGGCAAAAAAAAATAAGAAAAAAAATTCTTCATCTGAATTCCTCAGATAAACTCAATATGTTTGCCTTTAGTGAACACCTCTTCAGGACAAAGGAGCAAGGCACCGCAGCACTAGAAACTGATCCAAGGACCAAAGAAAGGGAATCAGTGCCTGCTTCCTTCCAGCAAGGTCCCACAGGGATTTTTGGATTCCCAAAGCAATCCACCTGCAACAACACAGCATGCAGTGAAGGCAAGAAGTGGTCTTACTCACATTCTCCTATGCCCCAAAACCAGGACTCTCCTTGGCATCCAGACATCTCCTCCCATGGCTTTGAAGTCATTCTCCAAGCCCAGAAAGACTTCACCCAACCAGTTTCCCCAATCCTCAGAGCCACATACAACACACAAGTTGACTGTGCTGTTGATATGCCTTGATCCCTGTCTGGGGGATAGGGAGGGCTGTCCAGGGATCATGGCCAGGATTGCTCCTTTCAGCAGCTGACACTGCCAGCTCTGGGTTTTTTTCCTAGATACTGGAAGGCTTGTGTTGGGAATGTCTGTGCTAACCAGCAGGCTGCAAGAGGCCCAGGGGACGAGGACTAAGGAACTAGATCTGCAGCTCAAGTCACAAGGTGACAGGAGCTGAAGGGAAAGAGCATGAAGGGGAGCCTCCAACACTCCTCTGTCCCAGAAGCCTTGGCTCCCTACCCCCCACAACCTCTAATAAAACACACAACGTCACATAACCTTCCTGAAACCCAGGGCAAGGGGGTGATAAGGTGGCTTTACAAGGACTTGGCCACAGTGACTCATGTTCACACCACCATAGAAAGAACATGGGAGCTCCCCACACTCCTCCCACCTTCCAGCCCACAGCTGGAAATGGACAAGACAAAAGGTATTGGTGTTTGTTCTGATTGACCAGAGCAAGCAATTCCTGCATTTTCAAAGCATTATCCAATTTCAGAATAGATATGTACTCTGAAGAAGACAGAACAGGTAGTCTGGTTGGCTTTGTATCAGATCACTCATTCCTTTCAATACCAGAAAGGTTTCACTCCATTTGTTACTACTAAAGAATACAGATACTGGAATCAACAAGGGTTAAAAAACCCCAACAAAACAAACAACAACAGCAAAACTAACCAACCAAAAAAAAAAATAGCACCGATTTTTGCCATTAGCAGAAAACCATTTTGCTCTGGTTGTACATCATATACCCCAGCTGGCTGGGAAAACCTGCCCCTTCCAGCAGGCCATTGGAATGAGAACAGCAGTCATCACCCCTCCCACCAGCAAGCTTATGCTGGCACCTCCAGATCAGCTGATAAGACCTTGTTTTTAAACTTGTTGGTGTCTGCAGCAGCTCACCAAATCCATTCTGCATCTGCTGCGCCTGGGACTACAGCGAAACACCATTAAAACATGTTTCCAGGCTAGTGGAGAGACAAGAGCTAAGCAGCTGGAACAGAGCCAGGGCAAGCATCTCTTCCCAGCTTCAGAATCTGATTGGGAGTCTCGCACTATAAAAAACAGAGCGAGAGCCATTACCTTGCCCTGACAGCATGAAGCAGTATTAAAGCAGGCAGAGTAATTCCCAGGAGCCAGTGCCTTTGCAGGCATCTGTCTAATGTGAGGGCTGTGCACTGGATGTGCCTGAGTTGCACACAGGAGATAACCAGGATGCAGATGGGAGCAGCAGGCGCTCTGGAGCCACTCTGTGTGCCCTGAAGGGCTCTGGTGTGCCCTTCCTCCCTGGTGTACCTGGGGCACCTGCAAAGACCAGCTGACTGCAGGCTGCAAGGCTGCGCTACCTTTTCTAGAAGCAAAAAGCTTTTGTAAACCACAGCAAGGCAGGCAAAGTCACAGGGACAAACCTCTACCTGTGAAACAAGCAGAGGACCTGTTTGTTCTATCTCTGGCTCAAGCTCTTTGAGGAGCTACATGGCTCTTTCCCAGCAAATTAAGCATTTATCCAGCAACTCTGCCAAGGTCAGTACCTTGCCACGTGTCCTTTGTGCCCCAAGAGCCATTTTGGTATTTGGGGTTAATACTGTTGTTTCAACCTGGACATTCCTCCAAAACAGCAGATGAGAGAACACATGCTTCCTGCTCCTTCTGCCAATTACAGCAGAGCACAGCCATGTTTATTTACCCTGTGTCTGAGCTGGCCAGATCTTTGACCTGATGTGTGCTGAACACCACCCTCTTTCCCCACGAGCACAGGCAGGGGTGGGTGTTTTCCACCTCTCCAAGGTGGCACGGCAGAGAGCAGACCAAGGGCACTAGAGGAGAGCTGAGCACGGAACTGCAGCAGAGTGCCAGATGCCAGCTATGCAAGACGCAGGGAAGCCTGCTGTTTCTGGTAATGTGCTGCTGCCTCCCACCATTGTGCAGATTTCTCCCGGCTGCCTGGCCAGAGCATTCTACCGCAACACCATCCCCCAGCTCTTCTTCAGACACCTCCTCCCAGGCGCATCCTCTCCTTCACAGAAGCTTTCCAGCGATTCCCCCAGCCCACCACCTTTGGTAGGGTGCACCTCCACTTCGGAAAAGCTTAGGAAGCAGTTAATTAACGAAAAGACGGTTTGGGGCGAAACAAGGCTCTTTGAGAGCTACTGCTGTATGACCTGCCTCCGTCATCGTTTCTCCGGCTTTGTCTGGCAGCAGGAGGCACGCCCGCTGCGTACCCTTGAAACAAACAAGCCAGAGAAACCCCTTCACCCCTCAGAACCACCACAGGGAAATCTGCGCCCACCTGACTACGTGAAAGCTTCACAAGGAAAAAAAAAAAAAAAGTTTTCATCAGCTCTGCCCGAAACTGCGCATCAAAGCGGTCCTTTGTTCCAGGGTGGCTGGGCACCCTGCCCGTCCCAGTCACCGGATGGGAATGTCCCCCGCCCCACGCCGCAGAGGAGCGGTACCTGGCTGCCTGCAGCGGCTTGTCCAGCGCCGGTGCTCGCGGAGGCGGCGGAGGAGCGGCGGCCGCGGCGCTGCGCGGCTCCGTCTGCCGCGCTGCCCCGGGAGCGAGCAGCGGCGCTCGGCAGCCAACCACACTGCGGCAGGGGGAGGGGAGGGATGCGGGCAGGCTCCGGCAACAGGACGGTCGGACGCTCTCCTGGGAGCGCAGAGAGCGCCACGCATGCCAAGCTCACAGCTCCCTCCTCAGGGATCCACGGGAGCCCAGCAGCAGGGCCGAGCCCCCGCGGCGCCGCCAAATGCTGCCCGAGCAGCTCCGGCCGCCACCGGGCTCCTGCTCCATCCCACCCTCCATCCTGTGGAGGAAGGTTTCACATCCTGTTCGGTACCACCCTCGCCTGCGTCCCCGCTGCTGACCCCATCCCGGCCCAAAGCCAAGCTGGTGTAGCTGCAGAGGGCACTCCAGCTGCGTGGCTGCTGCCGCTGTGCCCACAGCAAGGGCCAATTCAGGAGATCTGGGAAGGCTGGAGCCCTGTGGCGTCCACACTGCGCAGTGTGGGGCTGGGCCGGGAAGCACTTGTTCAGTCTCTGGCTGCTCTTCTCAGAGGGAGGACAATGACACAGCATCCAGCTTGGGTTGTTGCTACCGCCATCCCATGCATGGTAACACGCAACTGTCATGGTGCTCCCTACACCTGCCTGAACCAGCACTGGTGTTCCTGTCCTTCCCCACAGATTCCCCCAGAGGGATAGGGCTCCAGGCATCCCAGGAGGAACACAGCCCAGCCCAGCCATGCTGACATGCAGGTTCTCTCTTACCTCATCTCACAACACATATTTCTTTCCTAAAGCACCTTGCTGTCCTCCATTCCCTAGCTCTGGAGGGCAAATCTGGCTGGCGGTGCCATACAGCTATGGCACGCTTACATGTCACATAAGTTACATAGCAGAAGTGCAAACATACATTATTTGTGTGACACCGAAAGCCATTCCGGGCAATGAAGACACAGACTAATTATAGAGCAGCGAATCCCGCAGTCTGTGCCCACAGCCATGGCCGGGTCTCAGGGCTGACCCACAGCTGCCATGCACACCCTCCGCTCTTCCCCCGGCGGCTCCCGGCCTCCGCCGGCCGTCCCTGCGTGGCAGTGGGCCCTGCCCGCGGGGAGGCCGGGCGCACCGAGCCTGCGTACCGGGAGCTGCCCGAGCGGAGCGGGCACCGGCAGGGCTGCGGAGCCAGCGGCTCCCCCGGTGCTGAAGGGGTTGATCCCGCAGGGCGCGCCTCGCCGGCTCCAAAGTCCGCAGAGCCGGCAGCGCCCTTAGCGCCGACCCGCAGCGTTACGGCGGGCACGGCCCCAGTGCTGCCCTCGCCCCCGCTCGCTCAGGCAGCCCAACACCCACGGTGCGCTAGGACGGTCCCCGAGCCCCGCCAGCCCCAGCCCCAGCCCCAGCCCCAGCCCCAGCCGCACCACAGGGGCCTCCCCAGCTCCCCGCGAGGGTCCCACCGCCCCCGCGGCTGGCGCCCCGGGAAGGCCGCCCCCGCTCCGGCCTGCGCCGCCGCGCTCCGTGTGTCCTCCCCACGCCAGGGCCGCCGAGGGGAGCGACCGAGCCCTCGCAACGCCGCCAGTCCAACCTGCTGGGCACAAGCCGTCGATGGCGGTCCCGGTCGCTGTCCCGGTCCCGGCGGGGGCGGGGCGAGACCCGCTCGGGCACCACCCGCCCTCTCAGCGGCGCAGCCCCTTTAAATCCAAGATGGCCGCCGCCTCAGCCCTGCCGGCCGCAGCGCGCCGCCTGCCGGCGGCCCCGGCTCTGCCGGCGCTGGCCGCCTGCCGCGGGCTGGGCGGCTCGGCGCCGCGCTGCACCACCGACCCGCTGTGGAAGTGCCGGACCAAGTACACCGTGCGGCCCGTGGGCATGAAGAAGACGGGCGGGCGCGACCACACAGGTGTGCGGGACACGGGAAGGCGGGCGCAGGCGGGCCGCCGGGGCCGGCCGGGCGCGGGGGGTCCCGCCTGCAGCCGCTGCCGTGTCCCGCAGGCCGCCTCCGCGTGCGGGGAATCGGTGGGGGACACAAGCGGCGCTACCGCATGATCGACTTCCAGCGCCTGCGCTACGAGGAGGGGGCCCCGCCGGAGCCCTTCACCGAGAAGGTCATCAGTGTCCGATACGACCCTTGCAGGCGAGTGCGGGGTGCGGGCTCGGCCCCGGGCCCGGGCCGTGCCGCCAGCCGTGGGCCCCGGCTCAGCCGCGGCGGGCTCTCCGTGCAGGTCGGCTGACATCGCCCTGGTGGCCGGCGGCAACCGCAAGCGCTGGATCATCGCCACGGAGAACATGCAGCCCGGGAGCACCATCACGACCTCGCCTCACATTAGCAGGATGGCAGGTGCGCAGGGGGCAGGGGCAGCTGTGCCGGTCTTGCCAAGGGCTTGTCTGCTGCGCCTTGCCCAACTTGTCAGCTTCTGTCTTCCAGTGTCAGCCAGTGAAGGGGACGCGTACCCGCTGGGAGCTCTGCCTGTTGGCACACTGATCTGCAACCTGGAGAGCCACCCTGGGAAGGGAGCACAGTACATCCGCGCAGCTGGTATGGAACCCCCTCTTTGTAGGGGTTTGGCTGAGCACAGTGGAGAGGAGGGCAGGGGGCACTGCTCTGGGTGGCCAGTGACAGGGAGTTGCCATTTCATGTTAGAGGGCAACACATCCCTCCAGAAAAGCAGGGGCAGCTCTGCCCTGTTAATTCCTCAAGGCTCTGTCTGCAGCGAGAAGTGCTGCTGAAGTACAAAAGTGCTTTAGGGAGTTACCAGCATGGGGATGTGCTTGTCACTTTGTGCTGCTGCTCAGTGCAGCTGCCTCCTCTCTTGCCTTCTGCAGGTACTTGTGGGGTGCTGCTGCGGAAAGTGAACGGGACAGCCATCGTGCAGCTGCCGTCCAAAAGGCACATGCAGGTAAAGGAGCTCTGCTGTCCCTGGCTCCGCTGCCTGGGCACGCAACCGTGTGCCCCCAGGGAGGGCTGCAGCTCTTCTGTGTCCCCTAGGTGTTGGAGACGTGTGTGGCCACAGTGGGCCGTGTGTCCAACGTGGATCACAACAAGCGGGTGATCGGCAAGGCGGGCCGGAACCGCTGGCTGGGCAAGCGCCCGCACACGGGCTTGTGGCACCGCAAGGGTGGCTGGGCCGGGCGCAAGATCAAGCCTCTCCCGCCCATGAAAAGCTACGTCAACCTGCCACGGGTCAAAGCAGTGGAGTGATGCTCGGGGCAAATAAAGCGTTTTTCATGCCACTGCTGTCGCATTACTGATGTGTTTTGTGCACGGGGCCTTTCCTCACCTTCCCACGGGTCAGGTTCTGCTGTGTTCAGTCCCTGGCAGGAGTGGGATTGGTGGGAGGGATGGGTGCCGGGCTGTGGACTGCCTTGGCTTGAGTCTGAGGTTGGTGGGTGACCCGCTGCGGTCAGTTGGCACAATCGTGTCAAACCGAGCTGTGGGACACCCGAGCTCTTCTCTCACCCTCAGCTTGTGGAGGAGTGAAGGCAAGCGGACGGGAAGGCGGCTTCCAGCCACGGTGACTGGGAAGCTGCGAATCACGGACATCAGCTCCTCCCAGCCCCGGTAGCGCCTCACTGCTCCCTTGCCCCACTTCCACCGCCGTCCTTCCCTCGCCGCCTTCCGTGTCCCAGCCTGCCCCGTCCCTCCGCGCCCCCAGCGCCGCGCTGTGCTCCCCGTGCCTCACGCAGCCCTCAGCGCTGCCCCCGCCCAGGCCCGGCCCTCACGGCCGCCGTCGGGCGGGCTGTGCGCAGGCGCCCGCGGCCGGAGCGGCGCGGGAGCGGCCGGGCGGGCCGGCGAGCGCCCCGAGCGGAGCCCACCCGGGACGGGCCCGGGCCCTTTAAGGGAAGCCGCGGCCTCAGGCCGGCCGGGCGAGGGGTGCGGCGGCAGAACCGGGCCGGGTCCGGTGCTCGGTGCCCGGCGAGCTCTCGCTTTGCCCGCGCCTGGAAGGAGCTTTGATGCTGGCGCGGCCGGCCCGCAGGAGCCCTCTCCACGGGGATGGCAGTGCCGTGCCGCCTGCCTTTCGCATGTGTGCCCCGGCACAGGCCTGTCCCCGCCGTGTCCCGGTCCCGGCTGGGCGATGTGCAGCGCAGCCCTGCAGCGCGGACTGGCACTGGCCCCGACCCAGCCAGCGGGCTCTGCCTGGCCCGGGTAGCTCGCTCCGTCTGCACACAGCCAGGTGTTACAGCTGAGCCTCCTGGGGAAAGCTGCCCTTCCTGGGCACTGCTGTCCGCATTCCTGCCGTGCCCGCAGTCTGTTTGACAGCCCAGAAATCACTGTGTTTTGCCCTGTTGTCTTGTAACTCCATACATGTGGCTTTCCAAGGAGAAAGTGAGCCATATCTCATACTTGCTGTGTTAGGGTTGTACGGCACTGTTCTTGAGTACAGCCGGTATAAAAGCACATTTTAATGGCAGCACTGCCATATCACCAGCACTGTGACACACAGGAACACGGATCTCTAGCCACAGCATGTCTCAGCCACCTCTCCCCAGCTCCTGCTTCCCCTCTGTCTCTGCAGACACACCTGCTGCCATGGTGAATGAGCAGCACCATGGCACCCTGCTTGTGCAGCTGGGGCCCACGCTGCAGGCCCGCCCAGAGAAGCTGCTGCGGCAGCGGCGAGGCCGCGACGAGCGGCCGGAATACCTGGTGCGGTGGAGCGTCCTCGGCTCGGAAGAGAGAGCGGCGGGAGGCAGCAGCGCCTGCCCTGCAGAGAGCAGGGCCGAGAGCATCTCCCTGTGGATGTCTGCAGAAGAGGTGCGCGCCAGCTGCCCGGCGCTGCTGGGCCAGAGGAGGCCGGAGGGGCCGAGGCAGGAGAAGGCGGCCGGTCCCTGCTCCGCGGCCGTCCCGCGGGACGAAGCCGCGCTGGACGAAGCCTCGCTGCTGGAGATGAAGGCCGACGTCAGGAGCCTGGTGCGGCGAGCCGGGCGCCAGCTGGCCGAGGCCGGGACCCCCGCGTGCTCCATCCTGGGCACGGTGCGCGTGCTGGGCGCCTACGCCGGCATCGGCTCCCTGGCGGGCGCCTTCAGGGAGGCGGGAGCCCTGGAGCTGCTGACGGCCATGCTGTGCCACCGGGAGGAGCGGATCCGCCGCGGTGCCGGCGAGATGCTGCGCGCTCTGGGCGCTCAGGACGCAGGTGGGGGCTGCTCCTGCTCGGTGCCACTCAGGGGTGCTGGGCACTGAGGGGTGCCAGGCCTTTGGGAGGGGTGCCTGGGAAGCAGCATGGCTCGGGGCTTCTTGGCAAAAGGGGAAAATCAGTCAGGATCTTCCGGACTTCCGTGGCTGCAGTTGTCTGGACTGCTCTTGGAGTTTGAAACTCTGTTCCCTGCCAGGTTTCTGAGCTGGGATGCTGATTAACTCTTAGGAGTTGAAGGAATGTAAAGGGTGGCTGTCTCCTCTAGCAGCCCCAGCACCTCTCCTGCTCTGCTGCTGGAGCCCAGCCTGGGGAATCTGGAGTTTCTCAAGCTGAGAGATGCAGCTGCCGCTTTCCCATTTGCAGGTTCAACCAGTAGCAAAGCTGACTGCCCATCCTGGAGCAGAGACACAGGCAGCACACACTTGCAGCACTCACATAAACACAAGCACAGCCAGCCATGTCCCCTCCTGCTCTTTGTCTGGCAGAGACAGGTCATTCCTGCCAGCACACACTGCATTTTCCAGGTTCACAAGTACACACACATTCATGGATCCTTTGGGTACCAGCACGGCCTCTCTCTCCTGCAAATGTGCCTGGATCCAAGCCCTTCTACCAGTCTCAGGCATCCCCCTGCTCATCAGTTTGTTAAGCCTGATGCTTGCTAGTAAACCTGTGGCACTTTTGTTCCACAGTCCACATTCACACATCCCTTGGGACTTCCAGCACCAGCCCCCACCCACCTCATACCTCGGTCTGGACCCAGGACCTCCTCCTTGCTCTTCCAGCATGAGTTACGTGCACAGCAGGGTTGGGAAAGATGCAGACACTCACCCTTTCCCAGTGGCCCCAGGCACTGCAGTCCTGCTTCAGCTTCTCACTTGCCTCCCTTCCAGCAGCTGTCCTTCAGAACACACACTGTTCTCTCCCTAGTGGCTGATGACTGAGGATCCTGCCAGCTCCAGGCACTGGCACTGGACAGACCCTTGCAGTTGCCCCAGTAGCTGGCACGTCAGGCCAGGGACTCCTACACCCCTGATCAGACCTGAGTCATTTGATCTGGGTCAGCTGTACACCAGCCTTCCTGATAACTGGCATTCCAGGCTCAAATCTGTGATTTGATCCAGGGAGTGATGGCACCTCCAGCTGTCACTCACTCCCCTGACTGACTCCACAGGGCTCCCACAGCCCCAGTAAGGCTCCAGATCGTGGTACCAAATGCCACTTGTGCAGGTCTCACCAGCAGCTGGCACTGAGCCTTTGCAGCACACACACAGAGTAGAGAGAGACTTAGTAAAGATTCAGTAAGAAAGTAGGACAAACTGTGTCGATCAGGTACAGGACTGTCAGACAAACACACTGACCAGCTGTGGTTTAAACATGACTGGCCCCTTTTATAGCCCTTTCTCTGCATCCCCTTTTGTGTTCCTTGCCAATTCCAATTAATCAGATAATCTTACTGAAAAATAATCATTCTCACATGCCAGATGTCCTTACTAATTGTTGTCCAGATGTCCTTACTTATTGTTATGACTGACCAGATTTGTTTCTCCTCACTGCATCCATTAGCATTTCTCGGTCAGGTTTGTGATTCTTTATGTTCTTGTTTATGGCTTCCTTGCTACTTTGACTTTTTGCAGTGAAAATGTCCTTGACTGGATACACTTAGAGGAACAGACAATCTCCTTCCACGTAGCCTTGCAATGAAGACCAGTGCCAAAGGGCTTGACACACCCCTGGTGGGTAGAGGCTGGTCCTTACCCAGTTCTCTCATTTAGGAGGGGCTGCCATGGCTTGGAAGTGCCTGATGAGTTTTGGGTGCACCTGGAAGGTTGCTGGCTGTGGTGTACGAGCAGGTCAGCGCCGGCGACGAGGGCGAATTCCGCCGCAGCAACGACGGCATGCCCCCGGTGCAGGTATCGCTGCAGGGCGAGCAGGCGCTGCCAAGGGGATTGTCTGCTCCCCTGTGCAGCCTTCACGGGGACAGTGGGGTTGGGTTTGCCTTCTGCCAGCTGGGTGTGTGCTGGGCTCTCCTCCTTAGGTGTACTGGCAAGTGCTGGGCTGTACCTACTGGGTTCACTGGCACATGGTCGAGATCATCGGCCCTTCAGAACGAAAGGAGCTTGAGGGCCAGGAGAAGGTGAACACCCTTACACGAAACCACAGACTGAGAGCAGGTGAGCAGCCCCTCAGTCTCCTTCAAGCATGTTCCAACTCTCCCACTGCCCTCCTGTCACCTTCCTTTCTCCCAGCAACCTATGATGTGGTGGGGACCTCTTCTGCCCAGCATGAGCTCTTTCCTTGGGGAATGAGGAGCGTGCAGCAGAGGATGGGGGAGCTGGCAGAGCTGACAGTGCCCTTCCTTGCTCTGCTCCCTGCAGTTCCACAGCCATTCCTGTGCAAGCCCTTGGGGGGGCTGTACTCCCTGCCTTACCTGGGGCAGCGGCTGCCCAAGGCTGCAGACACACTGAGCCGTGCCGAGTGGTGGGAGCTGCTCTTCTTTGTGAGGAAGCTGGAAGCACAGGAGCAGAAAGAGATCACCTGTCTCATCCAGGAGCACCAGGGAGAGCAGGTAGGGGCCATTGCCTGCAGCAGGGAAATGGGAGGGAGGAGCAAAGGCAACATTAGGGAGGAGATGGCAGGTGTGAGCTGTGCAGGGACAGCCTGAACGGGGCAGAAATGGGAGGGTGAGTGGGGATGGCAAAAGCTCGGAGAGCTCGGCCCAGCAGAGCAGTGAGTGTTGATGAGAGCAAAGGCAGTGTGCCCAGACTGGAAGAGTGACTGTCCAGCAAGGTTTGGGCAGGCGAGGCAAGGCTGTGGGGTCATTCTGCCAGTTGCAGTTGGGTGGTGAGCACGGGTGGGAGGGGTGGGCGACAGGCAGGGGAGGGTGGCAGTGGGGAGTGGCCCTGGGCACCTCTGGCAGTGCAGCCTTTCTGTCCGTGGTGGCAGTGGCCACCACAAGGGCCATGGGGTGTGTGTGGAGCCCAAGATTAACTTGTCCCCTGGGTGTGGCTGTCGGAGGTGGATGAAGAAGCCCTGGTGCAGCTGTCGGTGCCTGCGGAGCTGGCCCAGAAGGTGCTGCAGGTCCTGGAGAAGCGGTGCCAGGGCAGCTCTCTGCGTGACCTGCGTGGCTCCCGTGTCTACGCCAGACACTTGCTGGGGAGGGGGGCAGAGCAGGATGGTGGAGGGAGCACCACAGAGTCCTCAGAGGGTGACAGGAGCACAGACCCTGAAGGCACGATGGCCAAGGCAGCGGAGGGAGACCTTTCTGCAGCCCCAGGGCCGCCCCAAGGCCGCGGTGTGGCAGTGAAGTCGGATTCCCAGCTGTTCAGCGAGCTCTTGGAGAGGGAAGGGCTGTTCCTGCCAGAGGTGACAGAGGAGCAGAGCCAAGGTAATGTCCTGCCACACGTCGGGTGCTGGCAGCGGCACTGCTGCCTCCACAGGGAGGGCTCTGGGCAGGGCACGGGGCCATGCAGGCAGGGCTGCCTGAAGTGGGGGTGCCTGTGGGCGCTGTGTCTGTGGCTGTGTGGCACTCTGGAGCTGCTGGAGGGCAGGCAGGGCTGCCTGAAGTGGGGGTGCCTGTGGGTGCCGGGTCTGTGGCTGTGTGGCACTCTGGAGCTGCTGGAGGTGTCACTGGTGCCCTGATGCCTCCGTCCCTCCGGCCAGCGCTGGGCAGCTGCGAGGGGCTGAGCGAGAGCGGCTCGCTGGCCAAGGTTGCAGCTGTGGTGGAGGTGATCCAGAGCAGCAGCTCGGCGGTGGGGCTGCGCTTAGCTGGGCTCAAGCACGTCCTGAAGATGCTGGAGGAGGAGCCCAGGTCGGAGCAGCAAGTCGGCACAGCCCAGGGCGGGCTGGGCATCGGGAGCGCTGGGTGAGTGCTGGGGTGCTGCACACCCCTCCTGCTGCCTGGGGAGGGCCCTGTGGGCAGGCTGGGGGACGGTGCCGGGCTGGAAGAGCAGGAGGTGGCAGCGGGAGCGTGAAGGGTGGCGTGTGGAAGAGGAAAGGTGGATTTTGTGTCCCTTTGTCCCAGGCAGGCTCATTGGCAGGGCCATCCCAGCCGCAGCGTGGGCAGGAAGGAGGTGGCTGTCAGGGCCCAAGGAGCTGTGCTGAGGTGTCCTGTCGCACGCAGGGAGAAGCTGGTGCAGGTGTCAGTGGAGCTGCTGAGCACGGAGGTGTCGGAGAAGGCGCTGGTGGCGGTGACGCTGCGGCTGCTGGCCGTGCTGCTGGCCCCGTGCTACGAGTGGCGCGTGCCCTTTGCCACGGAGGGCGGCGTGCGGGCCGTGCTGGGCTGCATGCAGCAGCACGGCTGCTCGGCCCTGGTGCAGCAGGCCGGGCTGGCGGTGAGTGCCGGGCCGGGCCGGGCCGGGCGGGGAGCGCGGGCTGCCCCGGCGGGGTGGAGGGGCCGCTGCCCTGCGCGCTGCTCTCTCCTCGCAGGCCCTGAAGGTGCTGGTGGGAGCTGCGGACGCTGAGCCGGGAGGCGCCGGCGGGAAGAGCTTGCCCTGGAACCACGGCGACGCGCAGATGATGCGGGAGATCTTTGCCAGCATCGGCTCTGCCTCCAGCAAGGGCTGTGCCAGCCTGCTGAGTAGCATCCCTGCTGCCCTGAGCACCATGCAGAGGGTCCCAGGGTAGGGGCAGAGCGTGGAGAGCGGCTGAGGTTGGGGGGAATGTGCAGGGGGAAGGACAGGCAGGGTGGGTGCAGGGGAGGCTCTGTGCCTCCCCTGGGAGAGGAGAGTGGCACGGCTGTGTCCCTGCAGGGGCTCCTCAGGGGTGCAGAACGGGCTGCTGGTGGTGAACATGCTGATGGACGGGCACCGGGGCCTGGCGGAGCAGCTGGCCAGCTGCGGTCTCCTGGCGGTGCTGCAGAGCTGCTGGAGGGCCGGGCAGAGCAGCGGCTGCCCCCAGGCAGTGCTGGCCCTCAGCGCCATCAATCGGCTGGCAGAGCACGGGCTGCCCCTGGGCCCGGAGGCAGCAGGTACCGTGCTGCCCACCCTGCCCGTGCCACGGCCGGGGGAGCCACGGGCAGGGCTGCCCGGCCCGACAGGGCAGAGCACCCCGAGGGGAGTGC